GGAATTCATAACTGGAGCTGAATAATCATTGCAGCTATGTGTCTGCTTTAACAAACAGGGATTAAAGAAGTGAAAATAATGCACACATACTACAGGCTATAATCGACCGTACTGCTTTCTTTATTTATTATCTCAGTAAAACATTTAGAATAATTGTATGGTCTCAATCACTCAATTATAGTCCCATTCGTAGTAAAATAGACGAAAGAAACTATGCTATATCTACCTCTGGTTCCGAAAAACAAGATAGCAATGGCCAAAAAGCCAAACACAAGTTTTACCGAATGGTTTTCCACAAACAAAAAGGTGACGACACAGTGATCTCCTTCTGTTATACAGTCTATCTTTCAGATCTGACATGTTGTCTTTTTATACCGGACATTTTGTGCAAATCTACAGAAATCACAATTTATAGCAAATGTTATGCCGATGTAAAAATTAGGATGATACACGCTGAACATCCGCATGGTTACTGTGAGTGTGTTAGTTTGCTTTAAATTCATGCTGGATCTGCAGCTTCACAGAGAAGCAAGCGTGGCTGTAGACTCTAATACCTCATTCACACCAACGCAACTCCGGTTCAAGCTCCGTGCTAGAGCTTTTCAGGTTCAGAACCGGTTCTTCGGTTTAGCTCCGCTCTTTTCACACTGCCCAGAGTCCGACTGGTGCTGCATCATTGCGTCATGACGTTTGCGTGCCTGCTTCATAAAGCCAAACCGCGCGGAAACCCCTCACAGCTGACACCGACAAAAACAACAATGGCCGATTGTGCTCCAGCTTCCTCTGTACCTCTTCGGAAGACCAGATTCCCAGTAGGTAGCTGGTCTCTTCAGTGGACCACTGCTGCTTGTTAAGTTTCTCCATCGTTGTTTACCAACTGGATAAAACGCCGGCTTTTTGTTGTTGTTCAGGAGTTGATCCCGCCCCTGCCCTCGCCTCGACGTAAGCGTGACGTATGTGGTGCTTTTGCTCTGGCCGGACAATTTTTTGGTGCTCGAAATGAACCGGATTCCGGAGCTAAGAGGCTGCTCTGCTGCGGTGTGAAGAGGAAAACCCGGTGCTTTTCAAGCTCCAGCTCCGAACCGGCCCTGAAACACCGTTGGTGTGAATGAGGTATAAGTATTTGTGTTAAAATATGAACTGTAATCATAGCTGTTCAAAAGGCCAGCTAAATACTAAAGGTTTGGTCAGGTTTACACACAGGTGGGTTTCCCCCTCAGTTCTCCATGTCTAATCTATAATCCAGTACAGTTAAACATGTGTTCAGGAGGGACTGTACTGAACATGTTCTTCAAGGACACCTGAAGAGCTGATCAATAAGAAATTGGTCCATTTCCTCAGCACTGCTGCAGAGAGCGCTTAAAGTCTTTGTATAGAGAGCTTTGTCAGAGCTACGGCAGATAAAATGTTAACATTGCTCCGGTGAATAGTTCAATCTGTCTGAGCAGGTTTGTATCATCTAATCACCTGCCAATTAAAAAAACGTCATACAACAGTGCAGCATGTTTTTCTCCAGAGTCAGAAAGTGTCTAAAAAAACTTTGCAGGATTTCGAGAAAGGGAATATCTTACCATCAGATATTCTGTCAGGTATTGATTTGAAACGTGACATCTGTTTGCAGCGGGTCAGCTCCTCTGGTGAGAAACACTTTTTGTAAACTGCAGGGGGTCAACAGAGTTACTTAGACGCAGCAGGCCTGCAGAGATGAGAGGGAAGATTACTTTTACATTATTACATGTCACTTGTTAGATGCTTTTATCCAAAGCGACTCACTTACTCAATACTGTGGGCAATCCCCACAGGAGCAATTTGGGGTGAAGTGTCTCAGGGACACACCGACATGCTGACTGCAGTGGGACTCGATCTTGCTATCCTCTGATTCGAAGATCAGCGCACTAACNCACCCCTGAAAGTCCCGCCCACCTGGGATGTTTGTGTCAAAATCTCAAACAAAAAACGAGGGAGCGCAAAAGAGAAAGCTGCAGCGAGAGCAAAAGTCTGATCATTGAGAAAGAAGAAACAAGAACTGCAAACAAAAACCTGTTAAAACAAAGACAAAATACTTATAGTTTACATGATTACACAAATGATTTGTTTGCAACTTATGGTTTTATTTTTGAAATTTATTTTATTTTGCTTAACTCAGTTTTTTTTTCTTTTAAACTCATAGTTTTGCTTTATTCTGAGAAAGTGTTGCTTTATCTTTATGATACAAAACTAATCCCATAAGAATCCAGATTATCATGAAAAGAAATAACCTTTTTTTGCTCCTTCGCTTTCAGCAGTACACTTCACAAAATACAATATCAGCACACAACTTTTTCTATGTAAAGATATAGCGGGGAAATTGCTTCCTGAGCAGAGAATAATCGTGGTTAATGGGCATAAATAAATAAAATGTTGGCTACATGTTAGCTAGATGCAGTGTGGAGATGTGATTAGCTGCTTAGATGTTTACCCTTGATTTGGGAATAGTGATGTTACGTTCGCGAACGATCCGATTCTTTTGAACGGCTCTTTGGTACGAACGAAGGGAACCGAGTCGTACTTGGTGAGAGCCGTTCTTTTTATCATCGGTTCAATCCCTATACTCCAGAGAGAATATTCTCCAAGACTGGACAGATCTTCTCAGAGAGGAGAAATCGCATTAAGCCCTCAAAAGTGAGGAATCTTGCTTTCCTGAATGCAAATGTTCCAGTTAGTAACCCCGCCCCCTTAAAAAAAACGCTCTTTTGAACTCCCGGAAAGGAACGGAGCCATAAGATCCGGCTCCCTTCAAAGAGCCGTAATTCCCATCACTATTTGGGAATGAGATGTTCAAGTTTAATCATTGACCTTGATTGTTAAAGTGAGAATATGTTGTCCGGTAGCGAGTCTGGCTAACACTAACACCAACACTGTTGGTTACTGCAACTCACAACAAGTAGAAATGCACATTTTCATAAGTTGTCAGAAGGTAATGTTATATCAACGTGTCAGCAAGTCACCTTTAATTTTGGTTAGATTCAGTAAGTGAGCCTTAAATTGTGGAGAGTATGCATTGCCCTGGGCTAGGCTAGGCTAGGCTAGCGTTATCTGTTAGCTTAGCTGAGTAAATGTATTGTTTTTCGCTTTTAATATATTAAATACAGGAAGTGTGACATAGGTGAGAAATGTGTAGTAATTGTACCTTCTTAACAGACTTCCAAAGACACAGAGATAGTTAAAGTACTCATTCCTCCATTATCTGAGAACCATGAAGAAACAGTTTCCCCTAATTAATAAAGTTGGCTATTAGGCTGTTGATCTATTATTTATTTGGTCTCTTCAGTGTGAATCCTTGCTCCAAATTAAGTTGGTAGTCCTCTTGACCTTATTAAAATATTAATCTTTTTTGGGAACCATTGAGTTTTCCATTGTGCTCTTTTAGTTTAATACACCACCCTCTGCATGTAAAGGTCAAATCTGTCTCAAATGCTAATAGGTTAAGAAACTCGAGATACCTTTCTCATGTAATGACTTTTCACAGGAAAAAAAGGATATAGGTGATGTTTGAATTCCATAGCAGGTTTGATTTTAGTTTACTGTTTTACATATAATATGCATTACTGCAAGCATGGGAGTACACATGGGATATGGAGAAATAAAAGGCAGCATGAGAGCTTCAGCATTCAAAGTAAACTTGGACTCAACAAAAGTAACCTATGATCTCACGACAGCAACAAAACTCAGATGAAATGAAACTTTTAGTTTTTTTGGTTTGTGAAAAACCTATTTTCCATCAATATTAATGGTCTCATGCAGAGCCTGGCAGGGAGGCCTGTCACAGAGACTGAGCATGAAGCTGTGATGAAGTCCGATCAGCTGTGAGAGCGAGTCGATCAGCAGTGACACTGACATCAAGAGAGAGCTGGAGAAGATGGAAAAGATGGAGGAGATGGAGCTGTCTAACGCTGCAGACAGGAAGCCAGGATGGATGCAGAGCTCTGGCGCAAGGGACAGATGATTCTTTATCCCTCTATTGACCCAACTTATCATGGAAGACACATCATCTGTCTTCCCCCCCTCTCTGTTTGTATGCTTTGATGATGACATCTTAATTGTTATTGCACCATTCTCATGCATTAGCCGTTACAAGAGGGCGAGTCAGTGCAATTTGGTAAATGGACTTTTTTCATCATGCAAAGCAAACAACTTATTAGGAAATGCATCTGTATATATTCTTACTGCTTGCTTCACATGTCATGCAGCTTAGTTTCTACATTAGCCAGAGGGGCACCAAGACATCCCTCTCGGCATCTCTGTGCATATTTCTAACATATGTCAAAGCTGTTGAGTATCCGTATGTCAAATTGAAGTTTTACAGAGTTGTATTTATTTATTGAATGCTCATATAGTCACCAATGTTCATCAGCCTTGTGCAAACTTTGATATTATTGCATGTGCCAGAAAAGCACTGTATTGATCCCTTCAGGTCATGTTTTTTTATACTGTATCTTGTTGTGTGTGTTGAGGTCGAAACGTTGGTATTTCAGGGTAACCAACCAAGTCAGTGAATTTATCAGGTAGCACATGAAGCTTACTAAGAGACGAAAATATCTTGGTGGAGCAATAAGGAGACGGAAACCAAAGACAAATTTAAATGTCATATCCATCTTGTTGCCTTTCCTTGACTGACACCACATAATTAGCGCCCCCTACTGTTTATCTCCACAAACCATCTTCTAAAATGTGCATATCATTAGTGAATAGATGCGGTTTTTCTGAACATTTAATAATGTATGTTTTGTTTGAGACCTGGATAATGTCATCACAGAAGTGAAGAGGAGTCACTTCCAGAACAATTACACGATGTCCTCTTACTGTATCCTCCTTTAACCCCATAAATCCATCACTGACAGCCCAGTTAATAGACTGCCTCGTGGGACTCAGTCTGGAGGAGTTGTGAATTAAAGGGGATATAGGAGGCGGATACAGAAGCAGCTTTTGCACAGAGAGAAGCGCAGTCCGATGGAGAGGCAGCGGTTCATCTCTCTGCGGGAACACACTTAAAACACACACTTACACACGCTTCCTCCACACACGCACACACACACTTTTACATATCTACGGGACTTATCTTTACTAAGAAATCTCTAAGAACTAAAGACAGAATGGATGCTTCCCAGCTTTTCTTTCCACTGCTCTTCTATGGATTTCTGCCAAAAGTAAGTAGGAGATCCTTCACTTGAGCGATATATTTTTTAATGTGATTTTAAATATTGTACGGTTTCTGGTGAATAATTCGTTTTTTTAAGCCAGTAATTATTAGTTTGCATGGTTATTAAAGCCACTTTTTACATTGTAAGCACAGGAGAAGTGCGATGAGAACCACATTTAGATCAATTTGGAAGTCATTGTTCCATAGTTTGTAGGTAAAGGCTCTGTTTTATGAGTCGTTATGATGACAATTCATGTTATTTTATGATGACTTGTAGTTTTGGCTTCCTCCTAAATCTATTTTGCGGTCATTGCTGCAGGGCAAATGTTTATTCGTCCGTTAGAATCATGTAGGCTATCATCTGTCCATAGGAAAACTCCAAATGAAATAAGTGTTACGTGTTTTTTCTCTGCTCACATTGTCAGTAAATAGCCAATCAGATCTGTCTGTGAGTTGACGCACTTTTACCTATCGTCAGAAGTCAATCTCTTTTATATGAAACTCTATCATTTCCTGTTCTTGCTATTTAAAAGATGACCATGAAGATGTTTCAATGGCAGTCTGATAAACTGGTTAACCACAAGCCTTTTCAATTTGAAGTGTTTCTGAAGGTCATCCTGTTGAATTGGATGTAAAACTCTTGGCTTGATTAGTATCTGGTGAATTCATCTTAGCACAGAAAAGTACTGACATCTTACACATAGGGTATGCAGAGTCATTTAACTGAACTAAAAGCACAATTTCTTCATGTTGTTTTAGGGAAAGTGTGTGCATTGTGCAATGTGGTGAAAACTGAGTCCCATTTCAGTGCAGTAGAGTTTTGCTGCAGGCATTTTTGTGGGCGTATGAGCACTTGTATGCACGGTGGGAATAGAATAAACAATCTTTGAGGGACTTAGAAGTGAAATCATCCGTCTTCCTGCGGCACGAGGGGAGTATCTTTTTGCCCTGCTCTAAGTTGCCTTTGGTTTTTGATCTGTTCATTGCTTGTGTCATATTTTATCTCGATTAAGAAGTGCTCTGCTGCTGTTAGTTCCCCTCACTGCACACAACTCCCGACACTATTTCACTTCTGCATTTTCTCTTTGACAGGTAGGTCTATCACTGAGAAGGAAAGGCAACAGACAATTTTAGTAAAGAAAATCGTTTTGGAGCCTCTTTTATGCTTTTAGGGGTGTTCCCTTTCCTGTAGTGTGTGTTATGTAGTTTGTTTTGTATGTAAATCGTCTGCCAAGGCTTAAATCCATGTGTGGCGTGTGGCGCAGTGGATAGAGCCTTGGTGTTGGGATCAGGGGAGCACAGGTTCAAACCCCACTGCAGTCAGCATGTCGTTGTGTCCCTGAGACGCTTCACCCCAAATTGCTCCTGTGGGGATTACCCACAGTATTGAGTATGTAAATCGCTTTGGATAAAAGTGTCTAACAAGGGACATGTAATGTAATGTTCCCTCCAGAGCAGGGAGTTTCTCTCCCACACTCCTCAGGCAGTGTGAGAAAAATAAAGACCTTTTTTTAACATTAAAGCGTGGAAACATGTCACAGCAGAGACAATACATACAAATATGAACCTGAAAATGAGCATCATATGTCCTTTTTAACATTTCAGATTATACGTGGCTGCTGGTGTATTTTGATTTTAGTCATCTGACACTTTACTTCCTTAAACGCTTGTCAATGCAGCTATTTCCAGGCAGAATAGACCGTGAACATCCAAGTGACTGTGTGAAAATGTGCTCCTCACTTCTGTCAACTCTCAGATGTCTGGCCCGCCCCGAGGCTTAAAAGAACCAACGCCATACGTCATGTGTTGACATATTTTAGCGACTCAAGCACTGATGCTCCACTACTTTGTGCCTTTCACCTTCCTGCTTTGCAATAACACAAAGTGAACGTGTACATCTCCGTTTAGTGAGCCCTCAGTCAGGGTTACGGTTTGAATTGACAAAGAGCTGTGCCCCAGCGCCTGCAGAGAAATAGTTCCAGCACAAATCTCCGTCTGTTAGTGCTGCGATTATACAAACAAGATATTGCGTTTCAGCTTTGTAGGGGCTGCTATGCATATGTTGTACTCCTGTCAGGACACTTTAGATGTTTCCCCCCTGTGCCCACTCTTTATGCTAAACTAATTGGCTATGTGTAGCTTCATGCACACACTCCAGAGCGGTATTGATCTCCTCACGTCCGTTTCCTAGACCTACACTATTTATTAGAGACACTTGGGAGAAGCAGTTTACTCCATATCACACATTTTAATTTCCTATCAGGTTTGTTTGGCAGGAAGAGTCCGATGCACACACTTAGTGGAACAACATGAGGCTGAAGCAGCAGACGGTGGATGTGGCTCTCAGTGAAGTGTAGGATAAACACATTACTACACAACGTCCATTTTCCTGTCAGCTCTCCTCATACTTTACTTGATCGTTACCTCAAACAAAGCAAGACCATTTAATATTAAAAAGTCAAAGCCTGGCAGCCCTCGTGATGAGCGAACTCTCGTGGCTGGCAGGTATTTATGGGATGTTTTGCTCATGGAGACACTGCGAGTCCTTTAGGTCATTAATCATCTGCATTGTTTGGGGTGTTGATTCATCGCCCATTAAGGTAACGAATCAAAGTGTACATATTACAGCATCTTGAGGCACTTAGTATTTGGCATCAGTGTTTTGAATTCAAGCATACAGCCCTGGTACAGAATCCAAAGTACTCCACATTCAACCCATACTCTGGCTCTACGGACATGCTTGTTTATGAACTAATAAACTATGAGGAGAGTTTGATCCCAGCAGCCTTCTACAAGTCCTTGCAGAGATTCCCGTATCATGTCTAACCCCCCAATCATGAGAGACTTTATTCAAGTTTGTTCCTGCTGTTTTTGCAGCATTAACAGACTCAATGCATGTGTGTTGCTATTGGTTTGCATTCTCCAAAAGCCTGAAGAAACAAAAACATCTCTCCAATTTCATATCAAATTAAAGTGGGAATCTGGGTTCTTAGCTGGAGATTGGAGAGAAGCCTTGCTCTCGAAACACATGAGTTGTATGGTTAGCCCTTTTTTTCACAGCAGACTTTTTGACTTTGACCTTTCTAGTGTCCCAGTAAGGCCTGACAGCGTGACAGTGAGTCAGCATGCAGAGTGGTGCAGGGATGACGTAGCTTTGAAGGCTAACGCAGAAGTTAGCATCATGAGGGAATCCTCGACAAAATCCAATGGGATAACCACAAACAAGTTAAAAAAAACTTGACTACGAGACGAGGGAACAGGAAGTGGTCCTTTCTGGGTCTTAGGGCTCATTCCTGCACCACTTTATAGCTCGAACTTGAAACAGAAGCGTCATTAACTTTAATATTCAAACCAATGCATCTCCTATTGTCAAAACGGTGTGCCGAATAGTGGAACACATACAGTATAGTGCTATCATATAGCAACAATTTCCAAGCGTTAGCATTTATTTGTCCTTTTCTGGCCGTCTGGTGGATGAAATGGACATATTCAATCTGCTTGTTGCTCTGTTTTGGTCTCAGCCAGTTTCCAAATATCTCCACTTTGTTCACCAGCTAGTTTCTAACTTGTAATGTTTGTCAGTGTTTTTGAGCTGGAAACAGCAGTTAGAAAGAAAGCAGTGAGGAAACACAGACAAGTTGTAGTTTTAAAACCATGAACTGAAGGATAAGAAGGCTCTGCTGCTTTAACATGGTGCTACAATAAGTGTTAAAGTCATAAACACTGCACCCGGTATTTTTTTCAGTCGTGAGATAAAGCCAGGGATTACAGAGTCTATCGATTCTGTTAAGCCCTATGGAGCATAACATTTACGTTTTCTTTGAACCTTGTTTACTTCTTATTACTTTGCATTTCTGGATTGGCCTGAACCTGGTTTAGCTTCCTGAGGGGCTTTTGGACTCAAATCCTCCCCGGAGTGCCCAATAATTAATTTCATGCTAATCATAAATAAGGTTACCTCGGGGTTTGACCAACATGAGATTTCCTCCTGTTGTGTGTTATGTTAGCAGATGTCTCCCGGCAGAAGTTACCTCAGGATACGTTGGATGGACTCCTGTGAGCAAAGTGCTTTGGATTGTGATAGTGTCAGGGCGACCTCGTCCATTAGGAGGGAGCGAGTGAGGCGATGACTGAGTCTGTGGAGCAGTGATAACACGGAGCTATGAGATGCTGTTTTTTCTTTATATTTTCCATTAAAGTTGAACTACAGGTGTTGCCCTTGAGGCAGTATTGTTTTAAAGCCTCTAGCTAATTCAGCTCGGATGATTGTTAGCCTCGGGTATTTCTGCTCGCGGCTTTTCGACAGAATCGCTCATCAAAACAACTTCACACTCATCCCTGCACTACTCTGAGTCCTCATCAATACACCTGTCAAGATCGAAGTTGATCGGATTAATGATTGTCATGCAGCTCGGCGTCAGAAGAGCAGAAGTACATACAAACAGAAAGAGAGCCCTTATTTTAGAAGATGGCTACAGCAGTGTTTTAGGAAGTCAGTCACATTTTAAATCCTCAAAGCTCGTATGTGTAAGATTTAAAAGTCCAGAGAAACATGAAATACTTGTGTGAGATGTGGTTTTATACAAAAAAAACTTCAATAACTGTCACGGCCTTGACGGAAAGTCCTTTTGATTTCTCCATTCTTACTTGCTCAAATGTGTAGTGCACAATCAAATATCTGACGGTTATAAAATATTTAAAAGTTTGACATCTGTAGTCTCTATTCTCGTCTCTTATGCCTCGCTGTGAGTCGAGTGAAAAGGCCTTTACGTTTTAATTCAAATCTGTTCTGACATAAAACACAGAACAATGGACGGCAGATGCTACATTTACAGATTTTAAAAGGACGTCTCCGAGGGAAAGGATGTCTCAATGTATTATTGAATGTCTGTTCCCTTGACTCCTCTCTCCTCAATTATCTTGAAAGGAATCAATGGCACACAAACAGGAGAATGGGAAAGGCTTCAAGGTCTTCCCTGTGTGAGTTTGTCCTGCTCTCATTCCCCTCCTACACACCTGCTCTGTATCAGCCTCGTTACACCCTGCTCCCTGAGGTTCTTCCCAGCCAATCAGATCCTCCCCTGCTCCCAGAGGTGATCTCCTGCCAATCAGCTCCCTGCCTGTCTGACCCGATTACGCACACCTGAGCTTCTCCTTCCATCTCACCACCTTCACATCCTCCCCTCGTCACATTAGTTTTTATTTAGGTCTGCTCCTCAGATTTTGCGATTTCAAGAGTTCTTTCCGATTTTAAGATGTCGACTTAAGAGGTGAATTTCTTATTTTTCCAGTTTCCTGCACTCATTTAAATTATATTGTGAGACTCTTATGACGAATATGCATGTGTAAATACTGTTAGTTTCACACATGTTATATATTGGACCAGGACTGGCCTAGTTTAAAATCACGTCATCATGCTCTGGTGTGAAACTCTGGACATGTGTCACATTTGCTTTTTCCAAACATGTCAATTTTCTACTCGTCAACCAAATGCCCTTTTGGCTTTTCCACCTGCCCCAGACATATCACTACGCCCTCTCCCTTCCCTACAATAACCCCACAATCAACCTGATCGCCTGCTTCCTACCCCTAGTTGTACATACTGTGTATATCGGTTCATTTTCTCGTGTTTCAAATTCCTACAATTTTAGTTTTCGGTCTACCTGTACCTCCTGTCTATCTATACCTGCCTGTGATCATAAATCTTAAAAACAATCTTAATTTTGACCTCAACAATCTACATTTGAGACCTTACCCTGTTACAATTGTCTTCATTATTATCATGTCAATGTTATGAAATCAGACAAACCCTGCATCCACATACATTATGGCTTAAATTGGAGCATCAGTCAGAACGTCCACACTGTAAACACTTACTTGGAGTGTGACGTTTAAAGAAAAAACCCCATTTCAAAATATTATTTGAGTAGAAACTCGTTCTACGCATCTCTTGGATGCCTGTGTTACTGACAATTGAGTGTGCGAAGTCGTCCGTGCAGAAATCCCGGTAATGTGTTTGTTTGCTCTTAAATATTCCTGCACAAACAGCTTCAGCAGGAATGGTAAATAGTGTACTGAATCCTGTTTGTAAATGATAAACAAGGTGACGTCTGGGTTTATTCTGCCTCATTACATTGAGCTATTACACCACAATGCATTTACTCAGCTGGGCTGTGAGGAACACTGAGGGCAAGGGCGTCTCTGTGTCGTTCAGTAATGAGGATTTGTTGTGTTTGTCTCATCTGAGGTGAAACAGGATCCTGTTTACTCGTCAGCTCAACACTGGATTAAACAGGGCGTTTAAAAAATGACATATTATGGTAATGGTTCACATTTGTGTTGAGTGCCTCTCTGCTTTAATGTTCAAAAAGCTCTTTATTTCTCTCATACTGCCTGTGCTGCAGCACCTCTTCTCACCCTCTGTCTGAAACCAGAGCCCAGTCTGCTCTGATTGGTTAGCTGGCTGGCTCTGTTGTGATTGGTCAACCGCTTATGGCACATTTCCACTGCAGCGGGGTAGCCCCGTTTAAGCGTCCCTAAGCGTCCTCGCTCAGGCCTCGGGCTGCCTCGCTGGCCGTCCGAGGCCGTGGGGCATTTCCATTACAGTTTAGGACCTGGGGTAGCAACGCAATGTAGGCGGGGCATCTGTGCAGAGACACCCTGGAGCTCCCGCTGGATTTGATCATCCCCAATGAGATGTAGGAACGTCGTCACCTCCTCGGTCGACCACGGTGTGCTTTTCTTTGACGTTGCCATTTTTGTTGCTCCTCCGTTTACAAAAATGCTGCAAGCTTATATGTGACGCTAGGGATGATCTGGCAGGCGATCTTGTGACGATTCTCTCTGACCAATCAGCAGTCGAGAGTGTTGACGTCACTAGTTCAGCCCTGGCCTGATAGAACCACGATTTTATGGGGCCGGAAACAGAGGGAAAAAGTACCCGCTAGCCGGTGCTACGCTATATGGAAAGGCCACCAAAAACTGGCCTGACCGCTTGAGGGCGATTAAGGACGCTTAAACGGGGCTACCCGCTGCAGTGGAAATGCGCCCATTAGAGATGTCCCGCCCCTTAGCCTATCACGTACAATGTGTTGGAGCGATAGCCAATAGAAGCGCACGTTTTACAAAGTGATGTCGCTATGTTCAGGAAGTAAACAAAGGAGTCCAATGGAAGCGTTTCAGGAGGGAATGTGTGAGAGAACTTTGCGATGTTAGTCTTTGCAAACCATCTACGTGCATTAAAGACCTATATAACACACTACAGGAAAGGGAGAACCCCAAAAAGCATAATAGGGCCTCTTTATTGACGATGTGTCATGTTAGGCAGCAGCTGAGTTGTGGAAGCTCATGAAAAAGACATACAAGGCAGGGTTATTATTACGGTCATTAAAAACCTGGAAAAGTCATGGAAATTAAAAATGCTAATTCCAGGCCCTAGAAAAATTATGGAAAACAATATTTTCCCCAAAGTTTTTGGAAAAGTCATGGAAATGTAACTAAAGTTGCATCAAATATAATTTATATTTTATCTAATCGCCGAAATAGTAATACTCTAACAATAATAAATACTGTATCGTAGCCTACAGTAATGAAACGGGAAATGGCATTTAACTGACGAGGTGTTTTACTGGTGAGAGATTTGAGTTGCTTTAGCGTGAAGAAGCTATAAGCCTGCTATTCG